TGTCGCACAGTTTTGTGTACCAACGGTGACGTGTTTATCTACATAGACTAAGTTTTTTTTTAGAGTTTTTTTGTGGTTTCCTCTGTAACGGTTGTCGTGTGGTTGAGTCAGCAATGGTGTTTTGTGGCCGTTGCCTGGTTGCTGAAAATCCAGTCGAGACTCGAGTGTGCGAGGCAATCGGTTTAGGTCGGAATGAGGCAACCCTCCAGGTCCTTGTACACGCACTCCTGTCGGTTTTGGTAACTCTCATCATCTAGCTACGTCGTAGTTCACTCAATTTTCATGCCTGTTTTTCACGGGTAGTTTTCATGGTACCGTATGTATGTAAGAGGGAGAAGGAGGATGCGGTGCCTAGATTTCTCAACCCGTTCAGCAAAGGGTCGTCGCATGTGTGACCCGTTGAGCGTACCGTATTTCGGTAGTCTCGTTTGTGTCGAGGAAGCAGCTGTCCAATGCGAGGACTGTGTGGCGCAATCACGGCCGATTTTGTAGCAGGGCTGGGGATGGCGAATTTGAGAAGAGGGTAAGGTTGGTTGAATAGGCACCTTCAATTTACCAGGGGAGTTGGCGAGTTGAACGCCAAGGTAAAGAAGAGGAACGAGTCTGCCTCGTGCATGCTGCGCCCGACAGGTGTCGTCTCTCGATACGCAACCATTTCGCGGTCCTGTGTGGCATATAGATGGAGTACCCCGACCGTAGGTTCGATGACAAACAGCTCTTCCTTTATTTAGATGTCATATCGAAGAAAGGGAAGGGTAGCTGTCATGGCCAGCGAGGTAAACGCAGTGCATCTTGCACGTTGTATCGTATGCATGCGTGTCTGCTGGAATTCGCACTTGATCTTCGAGTCACTCAACCACGGCTTTTTGCACGCTTGAGGTAATTTACGATTCACGTGCAGTTCAAACGACGCCCCTGATATTTATGGGGCGGGGGAGGGGGGGGCAATCATAAGAGATGGCTCCACCACTTAAGAACCTTTTTTGCACCGTCGAGGCCTATTGGCTGCCCAACCCCAGCACGTGTGCTAATTTGCCAAGTGCTCATTTCGGCCAGAGATATGTTAGGTTTTTGTTTCTGTTGCGGCCAAAAACATCATGATTTACGTTATTTGACATGACAGTCTATGGACGTTTCCATGGACGTCCATGGACACCGGAAAGACGCCCGTCGACATTGTCCGTGGACGCCCGTGAACACGTCCAGTGAGTGTCCACGAACATGTCTATGGCCGGTGGTCCACGGACGCGTCCAGCCACATCCGTGAACGGTCCACGGAAACGTCCATGGACGTCCACAGACGAGATGCTTTCTGCAACAACTAACTCTGAAAACCCAAGGGAGAAGAACTACACACGAGACAGAGTGACAAAATAGGGTAAATGTGCCACTTAAGGACCACCTAAGCCCCCCCCCCACTCAGGCAGCTCGTTCTCTGGCGTAACGATGATTTATGAAGAGGTCGGGGTATCGGATGATAGCTTAGAGCACACCCTACCAGCCCAAAAAGTGTTTTTCGAGAAAAAGTCAAGTGGCGATGAACTATAGTCCTCGAACAATACCTCATTTTCCAGAAAAACATGCGGGAAAAATGACGGTCGTTGCCCCTGTTAGGGACCACTTTCGGGTAGTGGCCGATTACGCAGGTTCTA